CTCAAAATGCAGTTAATGCACGATGCGTGACATACGTGACAGCAAATTGGCTCAAAGTCACAAAAGTCACGGGACGTGACATATTTGTCATGCATAAATCATCAGCGAAAAAATCGGCGGCTTATATAGCCTGGGCAGCCCTGGTAAAGCTAACCTCACTTACAATGGTAATCATTCTGGGAACAAATATTTCAACGTAGATATAGCACCATTTTGATTTATCAAACATATCAGTCTGGGATCCTTTAGCATGCATAGCATGCTGGTGAGGTTGGTATGCGCTGGCAAGGCATTACCAGCGAGCGCCAGTCTGGGTATCCGCTCGCAATAAATCGTTGAATATTTCAATATATTGGGAGCCACCTTGCACATCATAATTGAAAACAAAGAATAATATATTCGCAAAGCTACAGTAAATACATGGGCGCAGGTAGGTGTTATGAACACATCGGTGACGTCGAACAGTCGAAGCGGCCGCATGTCGTTGCCGCATGTTGCCGCTGCATGTTGCCGCCGTATGTGTCACTCGCACTGTAAGCGTTTGACGACAAGCAGCCCTCGCAGTGGTGCATGTTGCGCGGGGATCGAGTCCTGGACTGGACGCACATGTGAGCATTCATCATGTGGGAGCCTACAGACTGCGATGCATACCGTGAACGCAGTGTGCATGCCGTTAGGTGCGCTATACGAGACAAGGTGCGGAGCCTGCAGGCACGTCCTGCTCGTCCTGCTCGTCAGATCCATTCGACAGAGAAAGTGTGTACGTGAGGGCATACACGTCGCAAGCTGTTCCTTGCCCTTATGCTCTGTGCGTGCACAACTAAATGTTGATTACAAAGCTTCGTGAGGGTGCAACACAACAAATGAGCTGTACACTCATGACGCGCATCAGGTGTCATGTAGGAGTGCAGTACATTCAAGGGAATAGCTTGTAAGATGAGAAAATATGTCTAATAGGGATCTGTGCATGAGAAAATGAATAAACGAGCGCATATATGCAGGCCACGTACCTTATATGAACCTGCGTGAGCAAAATGACAAGGCCACAAGCCAGAGAAGCATACAGGCAAGCATATACAAACCTCACATGATTGGGTTGCTGTCTCGAGTTCTTGTGAGACCCGCGCTGAGGGCTGGGAGCCGACATCACGGCTACCATATATGCGGTCAGCTGGACATACTGTCAATGAGAATGCTGAAACGAATGTGTATGGCGCGAAAGGAAGGAGAGATGCACCCCGATTAGCCGCAGGTTATCGGTGAGCACATACACCGAGGCCGTATATATGCAGGCGCCCACGATCAGGTCTCAGAACGGCGTTGAGCGGTTCATAGGCACTGCGTGTGTAGTGTGGTGGTAGCGGTGGCGGTGGTGGTACAGAGGCAGGAAGGGGGTGGTGTCCGTTCGATGAGACCCGTGGCATGGTGGTGGGGAAGTAAGAGGCACGGAGCGACGAGTGCCCTCTATATGGATTAATATATAAAAGGATATACATTAAAATGAGTTTAGGGTAGGTCAAACAAACCTTTGAATTGTCTCGGAAGAGTTGACATAGAGGCGAAGGCTGACGAAGGTCACGGCGGTGCGTGTGATGTCATGTCATCACCGAGGTCTGAGCTGATCTGAGTGAGCAGGTCATGTTATGTCTAGCGATATCATAATGAGAACAGAATTGTATCGACATACCGGTCTGGGTTGAGATTGTAATGCAATACCAGCCTGGTTTCGCCTGTCCTTGCATTGCCAGCATCCACCAGACTGTTAAGCGCTTGTCTAGCAACCCTTTCTTGATCCACGATCGATTTTTTTGCTGATGATGGTCATAATGCATAAGGTCAACCAGCAAGCGACCTTATGAATTATTAACTTAACGACTGTAGTGCTGCGAGTGCCACCATGGGTTTGCCCATATTAGGTGAAACAGAGCGCCGACTGGCTCTGAGCCTGGCCTTATCTCGCGAGCGTGGGTTTGCGACAGGTTTGCGGCGGTGTTGCGAAGCGACTTCAGGGCTATGGACTTCCCTCTATGCTCACCCTTGTAAATATCCACGTACGATCCACTGCCCATGGGCCGGCAATCTCCTAAGTGCACATCTGATAGCAACAGCCTGTGCGGGAGCTGGTGAGATGCTTTGCAGAGCCTCACAAATATACGCTGTAGTGGGTACTCTAATCCCACTCCATGCCCTGACAGGTTCGCTTTGAATGAAAAGCAATCCGGAGAAGCTGTTGGCAGGGGGTGCAGAATTTAAGTCGGCATGTGCCTCAGATGGCTGTGCAAAAGTAAAGTAAAAGTAACCTACCAGATCGAAAAGGTTCAGCAGGTCGGCCCCATTGTGGGCAAGAGACTTATTCAGCTGTCAATTTTCATCAATCATATGCACTAAAACTGTCATGGGATAGCGAATCGTGAATGCGATGAAGCTCTGGGAGGTGGAGGTGTCTGCGGGGAGTCTTCGCGGAGAACACCTAGAGCATTTCTACCACTAGCATGTAGTGTCGTCCACTACGGGTACTGCCCTGACAGCTTTATATTAGCGAATTGTCTTGCTATGAAACTAGTACTCACAGCGCACCACGCAGGGTTACATGCGGAATTTTGTAATCAAGTCCGGTTGAGTTCTGATGTTGTGCTGTCGGGCAAATCGGCCTCGTCGCTTCTGGGTTCCTCAGGCGCAGCTGGCTCTGTGACCGCATTTGGAGAATCATCATCGTGGTTGAGCTCTCCTCCAATATCCTCCCTGTTAAAAGAACATGAACTCATGTTGAGAGTAAGAGTTCAGGGCGCATGAGACGCACAGGAGTACCATCAGCAAAAAAATCGGCAGCTTACCTAGCCTGAACAGCCCTGGCAAAGCTAATCTCGCTTATAAAGGTAATCATTATGAGAATAGGCTTGCCAAGGTAGATATCTCACCTGTATGATAACTAAAGCTTACCAGTCTGGGGACCTTTACCATTCGGGTAAGGTTGGTAATGCATTACCAGGGAGCGCCAGGCTGGCAGCACTTGCCTGAGCGCTCGCAACAATTCGTTGGATATTCAAAAATATTCGGGACTGATTTGCACATCGAAATTAGGAGCGGCGAGAAATATATTCATAGAGGTTTATAGAATGCAATGTATATGTATTGCATAAAATGGCAGTATCGAGACGAGAATGCCCTCCGAGTCGTGTCGCATGCAAACATGATATCAGCCAACAAGCAGCTCCCGGCGCAACGGCTACACAGTTGGCGCACAGCGTGCATAAAGCGAACCCTGAATGAGTCGTGTGCATAAGTTCTCATGTACAAAACTACCTGCAGACTGCTATGCTTACTGCGAGGGCTTTGTGTGGGTCCCGGAGCACGAGAGAGTGGGTCATATACAGCTACTAAGAATGGTGTTAGTATGCGAGTGAAACCATAGGGTAGAAGGGTTTAGCTTGCTGAGTGAGCGAGAATGTTTTACGAGGGCCTATGCATGTCAGTTATAAGCAATCGAGCGCATATATGCATGTCACGTACCATATGCGAATGTCTGCGAGTGACAAAATGAGCCTGAGTCTGAGGCACGCTTTAGGTAGGACAGCATCAACGGACCTTGTGTATCTGCACTGTTCTCCTGCATTACAGGACCCTTGCATAGCCGTGCAGGCAGGTGGAAGTCGGTGCTGCAGCTGCCATGCATATGAGTAGTCAACTGCAGTGCTAATGCGAGAGAAATTACTGCTCACGCACCTTGGGACGTACTGCGCTGAGTGAGCACGCAGTGGAGTCACTGTTAAGCAAGGGGAAAGTAGAAGTGGGGATAAGAATCTCAGAGGATAATGGCGTCCGGGGGTGGCCGTCTATTGGGCGGGTGCATGGTGGTGGGCAGAAGGAAGGAGCATGGAAAGCGGATGGCCTTCGACGGCCTTATATGGATGAATACATAAAAGGAAACTCACCAGAGCAACTTTAGGAGAGGTCGAAGGAGACTTTGTTGTTCGTTTGGCCAGTCAACATATATGTGACAGTTAGCAACACCTCTTGGAAGGCGGCACACATGACGTCACGTCACAGTGGAGATCTGGGTGGGCTGGCCGCGTCATTTCTAGTTAAAACAGGATGGGAAATGACTTACAATGACATATCGGTCCGTGTTGAAACTGCAGTGTGATATCAGCCTGGTATCCCCTGTTCTTGCATTGCCAGCACCCACCAGGCTGTTAGGCACTTGCCTGGTAACCCATCTCTGACCTGCGACCAATTATTTTGCTGATGACCTTGTCCATGGCCCTGGCCCTAAGCACCGCCACGGCATGTATTGGCAAGCCAAATTCATAGTCCGCCATGACAGCCCTCAAACTTGTCAAATCTTCTGCTGACCCAAGGAACTCAACCTCTTCCAAAGACGGATTCATCAAGATGGCTGCAAGGTGGCCTCTCCGCACCCAGTTCAGCAAGCGTAGGCCCAGATTGGTGTTAATGCGCAGCTTTTTCAGAGCAGGCGCGGCGCGAAGAGCGTCGGCCGTGGAAGTGGTCATGCAAAAATTATTGCTGAGGATGACAGTGGTCTGAAGTATATGATGCACACGTCAGCTGTTGTGGGCGATCCTCCTGTGGTTGTACTTACCAGTGTCTCCCATTGTGTCGCAATAGCCGACTGCAAGTATCTCTTTGCTTCCCTCATGGCTTTCGTGGACCTAAACTCTGATGTCCTGTAGTATATGTAAAGCTTCCTGGGATGGACCAATGAGAGTGCCTTGTGTAGGCCTTGGATAGCCTCTGAAGCTGGGACATGAAGCGAGATGTACAAAGTATGGACATTGGGCGCGTGTGCAAGGACGACAGGCAAGTGCTTCCCGAGCCCGCCTTCAAGTCTGAGGTACTTGATCTCCTCCCCCAAGTGCGTGTCGAAAGAAATGATATGTGCAACTGCCTTCGTGTGCTTCTGCTCGCGGAGCACTACGCCTTCGTAGAGCAGCGGTAGTGATGTGCGGGCCCGGCTTGGGCTCAAAGCCCGGGCTTGGGCTTGTGGCGACGTCGAGCCGAGCCCTGAGCCCGAGCCGAGCCCGAGCCCGGCCCAAGCCTTGGGCTTAAGCCCGGGCTTGCTCACAATACAACGAGTGTTCCGGTGCTATCAAAAGGGAATGTATTTGGGTGTAGTAGATTAATACTGCATGTACTCACTAAATTATAACCTCCAGAAGATCTACATCTGCGGAACAAGTCGAGTCGCAGCGAAGTCCACGAGCGTGCACCTACGGCAGGCACCAGATGGTGATGCACAATCGTGCTCGGCGGGAGCCGTTACATCTAGAATATCTACATTTTGTCTTCTATGTGCATATTAGGTCGCTCTCTCCTCATTCTGAACTCAGGGAACGGTAACGGAGCCAGCACACCCAAGCCTGGGCTTCCGGGCCGGGCTTGGGCTTGACTACGCTCCGAGCCCGGCCTTGAGCCCGCTGCCAGGCTTGACTCGGGCCAGGCTTTTTGGGCCGGGCTTGGCGGGCTTGGAGGCTTTGAGGCCCGGCCCGCACATCACTAA